CGCGGCACCGCCGCCCTCGCCGCCTGGCCGGCCGCGGGGGCCCGGGGCCGCCGAGGGTGCCTCGGTCTCCTCAGGTGTCCGGCACAGCCAAGGCTGCCTCTGTGGCAGTGTCACCTCAGGTGCTGGTCCCCTATGGAGCCACGACTGTCCCTGTGGCAGTGTCACCTCAGGTGCTGGTCCCCTGTGGAGCCAAAGGTGGTGGTCCTGTGGCAGTGTTACCTCAGGGATTGGTCCCCTGTGGAGCCACGACTGCCCCTGTGGCAGTGTCACCTCAGGTGCTGGTCCCCTGTGGAGCCAAAGGTGGTGGTCCTGTGGCAGTGTTACCTCAGGTATTGGTCTCCTGTGGAGGCAGTGCCTCTGTGGCAGTGTCACCTCAGGTGCCTGGTCCTTGTGGAGCCAAGGCTGCAGTGCCCTGTGGTGGTGTCCGCACATCTGTATGTACTGGTACCCATGCCCTGGAGAGCCCCAGTGCACACCCCCACGAAGAATTACGGCTGTTTCATGCCACCCTGTCACCCATAACATGTCTGGTTCCTGTCCTTACATGCAGCAAGGCTTGCTCCAAGTCCTTGCATCCTGCTGGACCCACAGAACCGGACTGGTGCCAGCAACAGTCTTGTTCAGATCTTTCCACTTCTAGTATCAGTGCTGCACCAAGTGCAAGAGCTGCTGAGATTACTCCAGAAGTTTTCGTCTTGCCCATTCCAGCCTGTAATTAGAGCTACATTCCCCTTCCCCTGGTGTTTGCAATAGGAGAATTATAGAAATTGAAAGGAAAGCATAGAACTATCCAACATGCACTACTTGGCTGTGTAAATGCATGCATTTAAGAACCCGAATTATTTGATTTTTGTTGTTTCAACAGGTTAAAACGATAATCCATAATATGGAGCAGGACTTAGAAGTCTTTCAGGAACAAGCTGTCGCTAAGTAAGTAATGACTTATTGTCTGGGAATGGAATTGAACTATGTGGGTTTATTAAAAATGTGAAACACAAAATATTAATGATTTTAGAAGTATACGTGATTCTTTCTGAATTTCTTCTGCTGCTTTCTTTGCAAAGTGGAGAGGTTACTGATAATTAAGACAACACATCTTATTGCTTTAACTAATAATCTACTGACTATTTCCATTAGTTATTTAATTTTTTTAAATCTTCATACCTGAACAAAAGAGGAAAAAATGAAAGCTATGTGGGTTTTTATTAAGATGTTAAGAAATGTTATTTTAAACTGTTTTAAAAAAATAGTTGAAGTTGCTAGGCTACAGCAGTATAAACTTACATTTAACAGCTCTTAAAACATTCAAAAATCTTAAAAACAAGGCTGTTAATTGCTAGAGCTCGTCTTATTTTGCACAGGTAATAACCACAATCGTTCTTCCCAAGTATTAAGTGCACCTTTCAACACAACACAATCATCTTTTTTTGACATAATCCAAGTTTAGTTCTTTAAGTGTTAATCTAAAAAAATATTAGTACAGTACAAAATCTTGCTAAAGAAGTGTGAACATGGGTGAGATATGATGTAGGGCCTCATCCCATCCAGCCTGTTCAAGGAACACAGCAATATAAAAACTACTTCCCCATATAATGAGCTAAAAAGAATATTTATCTATCATAATTTGTCATTAAACTTACTACCTCTTTTTTCCATATAAAACAGTTTCTTCTATCATTATCACCAAGAAGCAGTCCAAGGTAATATGATGCATACTAAGCGGAAAAGTATTTCTTAAAATAACAGAAACATGCATATTCTATCACACTTTATTCTGGCCCAAGAAAGTTTTAATAGGATTTTAAAATTGTGCTCTGTTGGACTGAAGAATAATGTGTGCATTTTTCAGGATAGAAAAAAAATGGCTGCAGTAAATTATTATATTTGGAACAATGTGGCCCTTTTTTTGGCTTTGAGGGGCATTCTTTTTGTTAGTGATATGTTTGATTAATATAGCCATATAAAAGCCCAAATTTTTAAAAAAGTCAAAATATTGCTATTCTTTGGATACTATTTTAACAAATCAGAAGCCTATTTCAAGAGTTCAGATCCTGCCTGGCCTTTGTTGTAATCAACATTTGTGAAATTTCAGGCCATTGCAGATGGATCTAGAGAGTGATTTGTCCCATCATAAACCAGGTATTCTCGATAGCTATGTATTTCCATTAACTATACAAAGAATCTGAAAGAGGAGTTTATAATACACATCCAAAATAATTTCTGATGAAGGCCTGGAGTTGGTAAAATTAATTATCTGGATTTTGGTTTGCCTAAATGTGGAAACATCTAGATTTTACATGAAGATAAATAGTTTTTAAGGACAGCAGAATATGAATCATCTTTATTTTCACCAGTATGGAAACAGAATAAAAGAAGACTAAGAGCTTCCCTGCATCACCTTAAAAATGAGATACCTGTCAGTGTTTTGAGCTGTTTCATAGTAAGTTTCTGAAGAGAGGGACCTGGGGGTCCTGGTGGACAAGTTGACCATGGGGCAGCAATGTGCCCTGGTGGCCAAGAGGGCCCATGGTATCCTGGGGTGCATTAAGAAGAGTGTGGCCAGCAGGTCGAGGCAGGTCACCCTCCTCCTCTGCTCTGCCCTGGTGAGGCCACATCTGGAGTACTGTGTCCAGTTCTGGGCTCCCTCGTTTAAGACAGACAGGGAACTACTGGAGAGAGGTCAGCGGCGGGCTACCAAGATGATCAAGGGAATGGAGCACCTCTCTTAACGAGGAAAGGCTGAGAGACCTGGGTCTGTTTAGCCTGGAGAAGAGAAGGCTGAGATGGGATCTCATCAAGGCTTCTCAATATCTAAAGGACGGGTGTCAAGAGGATGGGGCCAGACTCTTTTTCAGCGGTACCCAGTGACAGGACAAGGGGAAACGGGCACAAGTTGGAAATGCAGGAAATTCCATCTCAACATAAGGAAAAACTTCTTTACTCTGAGGGTGGCAGAGCACTGGAACAGGCTGCCCACAAAGGCTGCGGAGTCTCCTTCTCTGGAGATATTCAAAACCCACCTGGATGCGTTCCTGTCTAACCTGCTGTAGGTGACCCTGCTTTGTCAGGGGAGGTGGACAAGATGATCTCTGAAGGTCCCTTCCAACCCTGACTGTTCTGTGATTCTGTGAAATGCAACCCCCCCCAAAAAATAGCTGCCACTTGCTTAAGTACAAGTCATTACTTCCATGTATGAAGAATCCATCTGATGTATGCATTCATCAAAGTGGGAATGCTCAATGCATACGGGTAAAAAACCATATGTATACTTCTTTGTTTTATAGGAAAACTTGGTCTTTGTGTGTTTGCTTGATGGCATATTAAACGAAAGTGGGAGTTTTCCACAGTCCACATCCAGTGATCAAAATAAATTGTCATGATTGTGATACCATATGATTGGCCATATTCTGAAGGGAATAGTTAGCACTCTTTTCAAAACAGTGACGGGACTAAAATAGTAGTCACAGCAGCTAGTAGTACCTCTGTGCTAGTACGTGGGGTTAACTGCCAAATACATCTTTATGCAGATCTGTTTGTAAGCCACAGCCATGGTACAGAGTAGTTATGGTAGCAGAACAGTCATAGTAATCTAAAGCTTCAGCTACAGCTTTTGTTTTTTAGCTGCAGGTGTACCTAGAGGATCTAGGTAAGGAAGTAGGCAGAGAAGGTGCAGATAGACTGAGAAGCTGTTTCAGAAGGGATTTTTCCTTCAACAGCTCCCTTTTATATATTGGTGGTTCTAGGTACAAGAAACATACAAGAACTGTCAAGACAAAATTTTCTAGCAACAGACGCAGCACTTGGCTTGTGCAGGATGATCTGAAAGAGACAGGTGAGGCTTAAGAGAGGAAGATGTCAACCGTGGTGGGTCTGAAAGGGTAATGTGATGATCCAGGCTAGAGGTTGTATTTGCACTTGCATAGCAATATTTAGATGATCCACGTGACACACAATAAAGAAAGTAGCTATTTCTGAAGGCAAAAATCAGATAGCTGCTATTGCTGGTGGCAAACTGAAGTGTTGCCACCTGACAATACACGAAGCTGGAAGGGCACAAATCCTTATAGCAGTATCAAATAAAAGGTAGTCGTGATGCAGTATTGTTTCATCTTCCGTTTTTAAAATCACATTTTATATTCCACCCAGAGGGAATCCAAGTTTGCTGCATCATTAATGCTATTTTGAGATGAGTTTCAGACACTTGGGGAGAAGGGCATTTTTGTTTTGTGATATGTACATCACAATGTACTACTTGCTTGCACTTTGGTTATTATCATTCACTCATATTGAATTCTAAAATGCCATTGCTAACACTTTTAACATTAAAAAGGCATTAAGTTTAATATGTATATTTAAAAAGCCATTCCAAGCTTAACATTGATAGTTTCAAGCGCTTGTTGATATAAAAAACTTTTCAAGAATTTAACTTTAAAAAATCATGCTAAGTTTGTATTATGATATTGCAAATCTAACAAATTTACTCCAATTTCCTGTAATAATTATCAAAAGTAGGGATGTGCACCACTGAAGGACCAAAAAAAGGATATACAATAAACACATATCCACGTTTTTTAGTGTATTGCAGTCAGAAGCTGAGCATGCAGCATATGAAACGCAGAGTGTATGGGACCAGCGCTTTGACCCAGAACACAGCCTACAGACAGGGCACTTCAGTATGACTGAATGGGCAGCCATTCGGAGAGCATGGCTGAAGAGCTGGGATGTGAAAGGTCACCGGAAAAGAAAGGAAGCATTTTCATGCTAGCATTCACACAACATGGTGGTATCAGCTATCAGGAGTAAAAGCATTTGCTAACATTAAGGCTTGGTTTGCACAGTCACTTATGGTAGAGGACCATGTTAGTTAGCTTAGTGTTCTTCAGCGGTGTGCTGGCAGCACGCTCAGCAGTTGAAGGCTCACGGGCAATAGGGATATTACCTCTTAGGGCACAGCGCAGTTAGTGTTTGGTTAAGTGCAATTCTGCTCGAGTAGAGTTCCTAATTGCGTGGCACATTCTCGGTTGCAACATCCCCCCAAAACATATGCCAAATTGTAGTGTTTGTGACACAAAATGCCATTCTCTGCTAATTTTAGGTATTGAAATCCTCTCCAACACTTCCTAGGATGGAGCAGTTACAGGCATACTGCTGTGCTTTTTATCATTAACCCTTTTGTAGGTTACTAGTACATTATTCAGATGCTGTGCTATCTTTTGTCTCTGTATGACTGTCTCTATGGCAATTATTTCATAAAATAATAGCTATGCTTATTTTAAGGAAATAGCTATGCTCATTTTAAAAAAAGTACACCGTGCCATAGATATATTAAAATGACTGCAAACCAATTAGTGATCTTAAAGGCACTTTATGTGCACACAGAAGTGCACACAGAGCTATGTACCATCAGCAGTCAAGAGCAAACACAGCTTTTAAATTTTTATAAATTAAAGAACCAATTAAATTATAACCAGTGGCTATCACTTTACTTTTGGGGAAAATGTCAGTCAGATAAGTAATATTATTAAAAGGAGAATGGAACATGTCACAGCATTCTTAGATTATTTTAAGTGAAGAAACTTGTTTAACAGAAGGCTAAATTTATTATCATAGAAGTAATAGGTTACAATACATTTTTTTGCATAAGTTTAGATATCAGGAGGGATAGTTAATAAATATATGAAAGAATACAATTGCTGGTTTTATCAACAGGAAATTCAATACAGGCTTCTAATCGAAACCAAAAAAAGAAAGAAGAGACTTGAAAATTATGCAACAGTATGAGGAAATGGAAATTAAATGCAGATTAAACTTCCGTTGTACAATGACTAGTCACTATGACAGATGGAAAAAGTGAAAAGAAAGCAGTTGTTCCACTGTTTACGAACAGTATAACTGCTTGACAGTGTAGAAGAAACATTGGTTTTATTTGTACCTTTGTTTAGATATGGCAGTAATTGGATACAGTAATCTCTAAATCATTGCAGAAGGAAAAATGTAGAGATTTTCACAATTATCAGATCATACCATTGAAAAGAGCGATTTGAAGATTTCAAATGATTTTTTTTCATGCCAAGATAAGGTTGCAACGACTAAAGATGATACATTTCAATACATTCCAATATGTGATAAAAATAAGATAAAAGTATGTCTTCTAAAGAAAGTAATAAAGTTGTGTACTAGGGTAATTTATAAATAGAATCTCTTATTTAGAAAAAAAATGTAAATCAATTAAAACTAGAACAGGAAACAATAAAGGTATAAGAAAAGCCCTAAGAAAGAAGTGGAAAAGAAGTAGAAAAGTTTATCACCAGTTAATGCATATGAGAACAGGATACGCAGATAACAGATGCCATTAAAAATTGTGTGGAAAGTAAATGTTTACAGAAAGTGAAATGAAAGAGGTTCTACTTCTCAAAAGTTTAAAAATGCAACACATTATTCCACTGACTAAAAACAGTCAGTGAAAGGTTTTCCTTCACTCTAGTGACGTACATGCCCCTTTTGGTACTTAGTATAAAAATACCTACATCCAACATTCTATGAGCTCTAAACACACTGAAAATGCTTAGAAGTGGTGGTATTTTGAAAAAAAAATGAAGTTGATAAAAATAATTAAGCACACAGTCCCCACAAAAGACAAGTTCTTTTTCAAAATGCACTCACTTCTGTGCTTCCTACTAGCGTAAAAGTTTGCTATTATTATACAAGTTGCCGTGTTATTTAAGTCCATTTTCTACAAACAGAATGGGAAAACAGCGTGTAGAAGTTGAACTAGCAATTAAGAATTGTGGCTCACTTTCAAGCCAGCTGTTTAATAACTTCTGCCAACAAACTCTGCTTGTGTCATTAGTGGGAAGTCCTGTGCCCATAAGCAACTTCATATTCAGCTTCTCCTACTCTTGTCCATTGAGGTTTGGGCCTGGATAAGCTCAGCTTATATGCTCATTTGACAGTTCATCCTGACAGAGTGAGAGGATATCAAACAGCATTTAAGCTAGGCAAAAAGTCCATGTTGAATACTCTGATTTTGACTTCAGTTAAATTAAAGATAGGTGAAGTGAGATTCCACCTATATTTCAAGGCATCATTTCGCTTTCCCATTTATTTCTTTCTGGTGTTGAAAAGTGGTTCTTTCCATCAGAATTAAAATAAAATCTTAGCAATGTAAATAAAAATTTTGTTTCACCCTTATTCTTTATATGAAAAAAAAGTCTCTTTTTTTTGTATTATCAGAGCTTCTCCGTGTGAAGCTGAACTTCAGGAATTAGTGCATCAAATTGACATCATGGTAAACAGCAAGAAAGTGGAATGGGAAAAGAAGATGAAAGCTTTAGAAGCAAAGATGAATATCCAGGAGCAAGAATTAGCAAGTGCCCAAAGCAAACTGGATCAAAAAGGTCAAGAGGTATTTAAGAATATCACATTCTATAAAGAAAGTATTTATTCTGGGAGTTAGTTAATAGTATGCTCTAAATGCTCTATAAGAAGACCTGTTTGTTCTATCACGTAAAAATACCAAACACCTTTTAAAGGTCACTAATTATCCTTAGTGTTTTGTTTTAAAGTGTGCTTCTCTTCTGAAAAAGTGCTTGTAAAAATGTCATTGAAACTCTCATATTTCTTCTATTTCCCTAAAGTCTAAATTGAGTATTCTCAGTTTACCTGTAAAAAGATAATTTGATGTTTTTTCTAAATGCCAACACTTCTACTTTCATCAGAAATTTTAAATGCAGATGTGCAGTTCAAAAAGTTTCACAAAATTGTCTTTGTAATTCCTGTTTATATCTGATTTTTATCATTTTACATGATATACTGTCTTTGTAGCATAATTTTAATATTAATAGTGAAGATTCGCATTGTATTACCACTTAGACTTGCTTATCAAAATGAAAACCCCAGAGTACCTGATATTGTCTGTACTTCACAGTCTTGTCTGCTGAATACCCGTTCAGAAGCATCAGTAAATCCTAGCACAGCATTCAGCTGTAGTTCAAGACATCTGAAGTTAGGTGTTTACACACACCTTGTGTGACCTAGGTGTCTAAACTGCCAGTGGGAGTGTTGAAAATGAAATAACTCTCCCTAATGAGCAATTAGGAACTTGCCCTTAGTCATTGCAGTCAGAGCAGCCAAGGGAATAATTCAGCTAGCCAGTCCTTAGAGCAGCAATTTATTTGCCTGTACAGAAATGTTATCTGAAATATTTTAGCATATTCCACCTAGCTTCCAGATGCGCCTCCAGGAAAAACATAGGTGTCATGTATGCTCTTTGTCATATTTCTCAGACCTCTGTGAATTACCTCAGGTAATTCAAGATAGCTCAAACGGCACTGTACTTAGGGAGCTGAAATGAGTCTACAGTGTCTCCTGATAATTTTACATAAGTAGTTGAAAGTCATTTATATGATTATATAAGCCATTTAAGCAAAATTTTCACAATGGGGCACAGCAGTTCATTCGTATAGTTGGGTCAGAAATGCTTTCATTAAATGGTCTTTCATGGCAGACTCATACAGTATTATCATTAAATTAAATTCTGTTAAGAAGCATACAATGAGATTTTTTACTATAAAATCCCTAACTTGATGCTGACACAATCTGGGTTTGTGGTGTCCAGTTTTATTATTAAGTTACTGAATGAATATCTATTTTTAATATCTATCTTTTAAGGAACAGTCTTTTTTCAAAGTTTCACATGACTATTCCAAAAATGACCTATTTTGGAACACTTCAGAAGAGGTAAATTTGAATGCTTATTCTAACTGTAGGTAGGACTACTTCGACAGAAACTGGAAGACTTACAGAAAACTAAATATGAAATGGCTCAGAATTATGAAACGCAGCTTCAAGCACTGAAATCTCAAGTAAGAAAACTGTCTGTTTCATTATTTTATGATTGCAGTATAAACAGCTTGTACATGCCTAATGGTATAGATGTACCTTTATGTATTTGGGAAAGATCAGTCATGTCACAGAAATGATGATGATCTCAGCCTCCTCCTCCATTATCATTTTTGTACTGACATGCCCAAACTTTTTGGGTGGATTTTGATGTGATTGTGACATCTGTTATGAAGACAGATACTTGATTTTCTGTTTTTGGATTAATAACCTAAAACCTTGGTGAATGAATAAAATAGATAATTAGATTCATGCTAATAAGACTCGGATGCACATTAGGAATTTTAAGACTTAAACTGACCTTGTCATGTCTTTGCTATACTTTTTTCTGGTTTTAGTTTGCCTGATTGACAGGGATTATTAAAGTGGTCTGAAAGCTTTCCATAAGGGAACATAACATCAAAACTAGAGTAACCTGGATTATTGACATGGGGAATTTGTTTTGGGTTTGTTTATTTCAGTGTGTGCTTGCAGCCCAGAAAGCCAACCGTATCCTGGGCTGCATCAAAAGAAACATGGCAAGCAATTTGAGGGAGATATTTTCCCCCTCTACTCTGCTCTGGTGAGACCCCACCTGGAGTACTGTGTCCAGCTCTGGGGTCCCCAGTACAAGGAAGACATGGACTTGTTAGAGTGAGTCTGGAGGAGGGCCATGGAAATGATCAGAGGGCTGGAACACCTCTCTTATGAAGACAGGCTAAGAGAGCTGGGTTTGTTCAGCCTGGAGAAGAGAAGGCTCCAGGGAGAATTTATAGCAGCCTTTCAGTACTTAAAGGAGGCTTATAAGAAAGGCAGAGAGACTTTTTACCAAGGCCTGTAGTGACAGAGGAGGAGCAATGGTTTTAAACTGAAAGAGGGTAGATTTAGATTGGACATAAGGAAGAATTTTTTTTTCAGTGAGGGTTGTGAGACATTGGCACAAGTTGCCCTGAGAAGTTGTTGATGTCCCATCATTGGAAGCGTTCAAGGTCAGGTTGGACGGGGCTTTGAGCAACCCGATCTAGTAAGAGATGTCCCTGCCCACGGCAGGGTGGTTGGACTAGATGATCTTTAAAGGTCCTTTCCAACACAAACCATTCCATGGTTCTGTGATTCTATGACTCTATTTGGCTGTGTTTGCTCTGTGCCTGTATTTTTGTTTCTTCATTATTTTCCAATTCAATCATGAATCTAAATTCTTAGGAAACTTCAGTCTAATCTGTTTCTCAGATTTTAACAAATTAACATACACAATTCTACATTGATTTTCCTGCTATTCTATTGTTTCCTTCACTGGATTCTCCTACCAGAGATTTAGTGTTACAATTGAAAATTTCAAATCATCACACTTACCAGAGAATCATCTTGGATTGCATAAATTAGGTATCATTATTTTCATTTAAAGGTGATAACACCACCCAAATCCATCAAACCGATAAAGGCATAACTTATTTTTATGTTGTCTTTAATCTATTTCTTTCTTTTATATATGGAAATTGATTTGGCAAACAGTTCTGTGAGTAAGCAGAGAAGGTTTTGGTTGTTATGTAATTAACACTTTTAAACATTTGGGAAAGTAGCTAGAAACAAAAGCTGTTTTATAATTTATACGAATTGCAGGAAAAGAAACAACATCTTAGCATGATTATTGAGAAGATAAACATCATACAATGAAAAAAGGTGTGACTTTTTGTTCTAAGGTATGTCTAGCAATGCAGAACTATCCCCCAAAATACAGCAGATCTCTCTTTTCTCATCCTTTTTCACATTTCCTGCAATATTTTTCTTTTTTTTTTTTTATCACATGCCACAAATAACTGTTTATGTTACATGTTCTTGCTAAGAACTTCACTGAAATTGAACTTTCTCAAATTGGAGCTCCAGGTCCTTTTTCATAAAGCTTTTGATTTTGAAGTTATTTACCCTACAAGTCCTTTCCGTGGGCAAATATAATCTGTTTTCTCTTTGTGTTTTTTCAAAGAATCTGACACTTCCTAACCTACAAGCTTCTCTCTGTAAACCTGGTAACAGTTCTTGCCAAGATTCTCCTTTTAGTTAACACTCAGACCACCTAACCTTTCTTTGAGTGTCCTGATTGCTCCTTCTTTTTTCTTTATGCAAGAAGTTTTGGTTTCTAGCTCTTAAGAATATACATCACTTTCCCAGTCTATGCCTCCAAACTCTCTCAGTCATCCTTTTTATTTACCAAAGGTTCCAGCACTGATGCCATTTGCATTTTATTTTCCGATTCCCATTCCTTCCCTTTCACCAAACCCTATGTCTTCAGGAAATAACCATCCAGTACACATTCACGGAAGAAGGAGACTGTTAAGTGCCAAAGTTAGGAGGCCTGCCTAGATTCTCTAGGTGATAAGCAGAAAGCTTGCCTCCCGGAACAATTCCAAGACAGTAGGACTATCCCACTCTGCTCCTCTAGCTTTTACTATGTCTCCTTATTGAGTTTTTCTTAAATTACAGTGCTGCAGTGTCTACAATAGAATGACTTTAATGTCCCTGATTCTCAGCTGCACAAACTCGTATCTAAAATACAGAGCTTCCCTGACAATATTAATCTTTGCTTTATCTCCTTTGTCTCCCTTCTTTTGGTTCTTATCTTCACTTGAAAGCTATACCTCCTCCTACACTGTATAATCTTAAGAGCTACAATTCAGTTTTGCACCAATGATGTGAGTGTTACTATTTACCAGTAGCATTGTATCTTGCTCTGCAGCAGTATTCTTAAAATCCCTCTCGATTTTTGTTCCTTCTTAATCTTGTTAGACATAGAAAGGATCAGTTTTTCTAGCTCTAAGAGTGCTAGGCTGTTCAGATCAAATTTCTCTATGATATGCTGCTTCTGTGGTCCTCATTGCTTTTTACCCTTGCTATTGATAAAAGCAGCTGTTTAATGAGCATCTTTCCCACTGAATTGATTGTGGGCCTGTCCAATGCAGTAAAACCTATATTTTTCTTGTATTAGGGAAATAATTCCTGATATGTAACCTGAAACTCTTAGGCCACACTGCTGCACTCATTCAAGTGTACAACATTTTGTCATAATTAAATGGTAAACACTTTAGGGGTTCATCTTTATTACTTTCTTCGTTATGTTTTCTATATTTTTTTTAGTAGTTATTCTCATTTTGAAAATGACAGAAATCCCTCAGCAAATGAGTAAGAATCCATTCTTGCTCTAACCAATTTAGCAACTAATTGCCTCACTTAGACATTTAAAAGCTAGATGGCTACGTCTGAGCTACCTCAGGCTCCCTTTAGGATCAATGGAGGGAAATGGACACGCTTAAAATATAATTCATGTCAGTGTATGATGAGAATTTAAGATAGATGAAATGACTAAGCATTTGGAGCCAGCTTTTTCTGATGCAGAGTAGCTCAGGCTTGGACGTCTAACTTTCAGAAATCTAAACTAAGATTATTTCTACCACTGAACTCACTACAATGACTCTTTTTTTTCACTTCTACAATGTGCAAATAGAACAACTTAGATCTTATTTTGAAAGCAAATATCTAGCATTAAATGAAAAGATTCTTGGCTTTTATTCTAGTTTCTGGGCATGATAACATCCAGACTATAATCTGTCTGAAATATCCTACTTTCATTAAATAAATCTAATATTCAAACTACATTTTCTCATTTTGGCCGTTCTGTTCCTTTTTAGATTGATTTGCTGAAGTGTTGGATCCTGTATTTCCTGTCCTTTTCAGCATGAACAGTCTAATACCTGTCTTCATCTGAGTTTGATCTCCCCAGGCAGTTCACATATGCCATAATACATTCAAAACCAAATCTCCTGTTATTGGAAAAAGGATATCTTTCTTCCAAAAGCAATGACTTCCATGTTGTTTGAGCCTGGGTACTCTGACCCATTTTAAATGTTTTATCTTAACTGTGTTCTCTGGCAAGGTCTTTTTCAAATGTAGGCAGCTTCTCTGCAAGACTTCTGGTTTTGTTTTGAAGGTGATATCTCAGCTCTGTGACTCCATGTTACAAGATTTCTATTCAGAAATTCCAAGTTGGTCAAGTCTGTCCCTGGACCTCCCAATTTCATGACACTTTCTAGCCTAGGACAATCTATCTTCTGGTCATCTTTTCAATTCTTTTTTGCTGTTCCATAGTATGAGTTCCCAAAATCATCTCAAATGTCTCTAGGAAGTTTCCAGATGATTCTTTAACTTCAGTTTCTGTTCTGTATCTTTTCTGGACTTCTGGACTTCTTTGGCCATCTTTGTTATGAACCAGGTTGGTTCAATAGAATTCCATTCCATTTCCAATTACTTCCTTGGAATTAGTTTCTTCTCCAGACAGTAGTTCACTTGAGCAGTTAACAAAAATATGAGATTTTATGGATTTTGTTTGGTTATGGAAAGAACTTTATGTTAGAGTAGATTTCAGATCATATATATCTGAATTTAATGGAACAAAACAACAAGAGACATGAGCAGTATTGATAGTTGTAAGCTTCTTTTCTACTCAACATTCTTCACGAAGTTCTTTGACATGGTTTCCCTCAGGACCATATATTTGGTGTTTCTTTTGTCAATATCCTTAGTTTTCCTTTTTTTTTTTTTTTTTTCAAAACCAGATGTACATATCTCTACCAGATAATGTCAGTTTGCTGTATCAAACCTGTTAATGGCCACTAGCCCCTTTGCTTGTCTAGTATAGGTGACTGTTGATCAGACTGGCCATTTTTGTGAAGAGATTGGTACATCTACTGGTACCTTCCCTTCTCTGCCTCTGACTCCTTTTCCTCTGATCCCTAAGCCATGCTTTCATGGGAAGATCAACAGGAAGAACAGTATTAAGTGTCTAATTCTCATAGGCAGTCTTTGGTACTTAACGATTCCAGAAGAATGCAGTCATCACACACGTAACATTTCAACAATTTTCATGATAAAAAAGAAACATGCAAGTTTAAATTGCACTAATGATGATCCTTCATTCGGGCTGGCGAAGCACCCTTTAAAAACGTCAACACAAGATGGCAGTAAACAAGTATAGAACATTTCATGTGAACACGGTAGAGGAAATGTCACTATGGGTAAAAGTGCCGTAAAGAACTTCAGCAGAATTAGGTAGCTGTCAAATGAACCCGTTTGAACATTTAGTTAACATTTATATGAGAGCTTAGTCTTGTTCATCTCTAGTAAATTACTTTATTAATTGATTCTTTGTTACATTGATTAAATATTTAGAATGCTGAAGCTGCAGTTGGTGATTCTAGTGTAAAGAAAACTTTGTCCATGTGGTCATCTTTGATAGATTCTGCAAATTCAACTCTGCTTTCATTTTTAGTTTTCAAAGCTGACACATAGTTATGAAAAGCTACAGTCACATCAGTTAAAAGAGAAAAAGGTTGAAAGTAGAGAAGAATGTGAGGAAAGCCTAGAGACACCATCTGAACTGAGGAATTTATACAAGAAACTGGAGGTAAGAATACTTTGTTATTATATTTTAATTTTAATATACCTTTGAAACTAATTTGTGGTTTAGAGTTGTAAAAGTTAATTTCCTGTTAATTCTACAAAAATTACAAAATTTTCTTGCTCTGGCAAGGTGCATAGTTTAGTATTCAGGTTTTTGTTCTCTTATGCAAGTTTTATTAGTGTTTTTAGTAGTTCTATGAGTTTCTTCATAAGTTTAACTATTAAAAAATTTTACTTTTTTCCTGATTAATATGTGGATAATATAGTCTCTTGAGGCATGAGACCTTTTACATATGCAGGATATTGTCACATAATACCTACCATTAATTCAAGTTTTATATACCTCGGGACAGCTTTGACTGTGTAGGGCTAGAGAGAAAAAGGACTTAGGATTGGAAAACTGCTTGTTACACGCATATCTTGTCAGCACCCATGTGCCTGAGGCAATGCTTGACCTCTGTGCCTAGTTTTCCTAGGAAACGCATTAGAAAGGATTAGGCACTTAAAAATACATTCCACAGAATCCAGCATACTGAGTGGGGAACTGGATAATATGAGATGCTGAGGACAGGATTCAGTTATATTCCCTATCCCTCTGGACACAGAATGGATTTTAGCTGACTTATTCTTGGATAACAGGAAGATACTAATTTCTGTTTGTAATTCCTGGCCTTGACTTCTCAGAGTTAGAAGTTACTTTATGATCTGTGAAATAATGAGATATTTATTGGGCAAACAGGAGAGTTAGCCAGCACAGAGAACTGACGTATAGAGACTCTGCCTCCAAGCGGTGGCTTCTTCCCAGATACTCTTCTGGCTACATTCACCGGTGCAGAAACTGATACCCAGTCTCATTTCTTATAACTGAGCGATATACTCTCTGGCTGTGCTAATCTTTTTTAATTATCCAATAAATTTGCTGGTATCCTGTGCACAGTGAAACAACTTCTAAAGGAAGAATTCCAGAGCCTGTTGAAAAATAACATTTGTTTGATAGGTAGAAAATTAACATGGGAAGATTCTGATTCAGATTCTGTCTGGAGAGAAGATTATTAAACTGAGTCTTCCACGTGTGGGGAGAACTGTCTAACCACTAGTCTGATGAAACATGGGAGGATCACAAAAAAATTTACGTTTTCTCTGGCCACCCTTTGTAAAGAGCATAATAAAGTAGTGTGTGCTTCGAGCGTTTACTAAACTGGGTCCTGTGGGGAAAGTAAGCAGAGGAAAACTAGGTGAAAGTGTGAGCTAGTTGCGTAGTTGCTAAGCATTGTGAAGCCTTACAGGTTTATGATATAGATTTAGGTAGATTTATTATATAGATTATTTAGACACTTTGAGAACTTTACAATCAAAAATTTAAGAACTAATAGATTTTAAGTACTTTCATACTTAAGCTGCAATTAAGCAGGGTTTTAGGATCTTTATTTTGGATTTGCCTATCTTCTATGTTATTCTATAAGATATAGGAATAACTTCTGCAACCTTCACGTGACTATATCCCCATAACAGGACATATCCTAGACACATCCTAGATCTACAAAATGTTGCTGTTCCTTCACACGGAAGTCTTTACCGTCAGAAAAGCTACTACGCTTTGGACTGCAGCATAGCTGCCAACATCTGCTACTACAAGAATAATAAATGGGTTATACATCTATCATTGACTAAATATATCACTCCTGTGAAACTGTCTGATCCAGCTAATTTGAGAATGACCTTATTCAAGATTAAAATGTGAAAATAATGTAACACAATGCTATAATTTGATTAATTATGCAGTATAAAAAATGAGTGCTTGGAATATATTCAGCAAATTCTAGTGTTCAGGAAATAATGACTGTGTTGAAAATCCACTAAGCTCAGCAGTGCTTTAGTAAAGCCTTGAACCTGCAGTCCTCACTAAGTAGTCTGAAAGTCCATTTGTATCACATTTTGTAAAATGGGAAGATGTTTATTGGTTTAAAATGCCAAAGTGGATATTAGGAAGGGTATAATAGAGAAGATTGGTATTAATAATCTATGTTGGAAAGCATTCAATTTTGTCTCAGTAGCAAATAAAATCTTATTTTTTTAAATTTGGGGAATATGCCAGTTTAGAATAATTATAAAAAAATCATCTATCCTTTTGGAACCAACATTTCCATTGTGAAAAAGGGAGTTCTCATAACAGCTTATAAGTATTATAGTTTTCACTGTATAGAACAGTATACTGCTATTCTGCTAATTCTTCAAACTAAAAGAGCAACAGCTGTAGTCACTGGAGTTCTTTCACTTGTTTTGTAGGATACTGCCTTTAAAGTCTAGTTGTGAACACATAAGATCTGTTATGATTTAAGAGCAAATTCAAATACACTTTAAATAGGAAGAGGAGTGCAAATACAAAAATAGTATTCAATAAATCTGATATAATAGAATTTGTTACACAAGTTTTTGTTTAAACTAGGTGAAGTCAGAACCAGAAGCAGCAATTGTAAAGAGAGCAAGAAGTAAAATTTATTCACAATAGCTGCTGTCCCATTTGTTTAAAAAAAAAAGAAAAAGAGAAAAAAGCAAGCACTCAAAACATTTGACTGAATATTAAGAGTTTGATTCCCTGCTGATTACTCTACTTGTCACTGATACAGCTTTAAAGTCACAGGAACTACCCTCCAATAAAACAGGTGTATTATAGTCATAACGCTAAGATCTACAGCAATGGAAGTGATTTAAAATATTTTATCATTTTTAATCAATGATTATGTTTACCACCCATTTTTTTTTTGGATTAACAGCCCTTAAGATGGCTGGATGGGATGGCTGGTTTATATCATTGCTCCTTTTTTCTTTTTTCCCAAATTAAGGAAAGATTAGGTATTAATTTAAAAACTAGGTTTTTCTTAGAACTGTACAAATTACAATGTTATTTAGATTAAGGAAAAAAGTTATTTTCCCTGTGTTTACTAGCTTTGTTTTTCTGTCTTTCAGGAATTTAAGGCAAAATCAAGAGAATGGGATAAGAAGGGGACAATCTGCCAAAATTATCTTGTTTATTTAGATGCTCAGCAAAAATTATTGTCTGAGAAATGTAGTTTATTTCAGGTAAAATTCCTACCTTCCTACTATAGGGAGAAAATGAGCTGTTAGGTCAGGTAGCGTTATTTTAACTTAATTTTCAAAAAAAATCTGAACACCACTAAGCTTCCAGTGAATCTGACAATACGTGAATATATTGGTAGCAAATACATTGCTTTTAGGTAAGGCGGACCCATACTGAGAGACCTAATGATACATACAGTTATTTTAATTTTATTTTTCTCATGAAAATGAGAAAATGAATAAGTATCATGATGAAAATTACAACATTTCTGATTTTTAAAAAGCTGCAAAAAGCAGTGCGTATTCCTTTTTACCTTTTTCAGTATATTGTAGAGATACTTTTATCTTCTGTGTTCTTTACTAATATGCAATTAATTGTGATGACACGTTATTGCAAAATATCTTATGAAGTAAGTAGTATATGCCATTACTATGTTTACTCACATAGTAAGTTCCCTCAAATCTAAGATAGCCCTCATTTTTTTGAAGACCATAAATATACATTAATATAATTTATGCAAAAAATGAATTTCTGTATGCTACTTCAAAATCAGATTTGGACTTGTTTGTTGGATGACTTATCCCTTTTTTATCATATATTTCAGTTTCAAGTTACCATTCAGTCCTTGGTTGACTTTGTGATCCTTTTTAACTTGCCAATTTGCTTATTACTTTTTTATATGGCCTATTGATCTAGCATATTTTGGGGTTTTTTAATTCCTTCCAATTCCGAGCAAAATACTGATATATTGATGTCTTGATGACCTATCCTGCTCTAAAAAAAAAATAGAAAATAACTTACAAATTAACTGGGCCATAAGACAGCTTGAAAATTAAGTAAGTGGAAGCCAATTACGTTGCTAACTGGTAGTCCCCTTTTCCAATGTTACTTAGCTCATTGGATCTTAATCTAGTGAAACACTTTCTTAATTCGTATGAGATTCTTTACCCATATCCAGACTTTCCAAGGGTGTCAGTTAAGTTTTGGGTTTAGATGCTGAAAGCATTCTATTGCAACTATTGAACTTCCGTACAAATGTGTTAAAAAAGCAAGTCTTTGACTAGACAAAACTACTGACTGATGCATGTTGATTATATAGTTGGAGAGACAAAATAGAGAACTCAAGGTGATCATCCACATTTTTTTATGGAGGCTTACATCACTGCCATCAGTGAACTTCCTTTGAAGACAAGTTTCTTCACAACTGTAACATAACATCAACTAGTTTATTAAATAGAAGTCTGATGAACTGTTAGCCCTTAACTGTATCAAAAAGCTTTGATTGGTCCTGTGTCTTTGTCTCAAATTCCTCTTTTGTGAGGTCTTTGATTTCCAGCTGGAGTCTTGCACTATATTTTTCACAGGATGCTTTGACATTATGATATGTCAGACTCCATAACTTAGATGTCAGGGGGACCTTAATTTATTATCTATAGAAATTAACTTACCTGCAAATTTCTTTTAGCTTTTTGTTTGATACACAGCCGCAGTCAGTTCTGCTTAGGTGTTCATTCAACACAAATTATGGGAACATGGTCAATGACATCAAAAGCTGTCTAAAGCATGCCTTTTTGCAGTCCTTATCAATGAAATATGATATTTGTAACCCTGTGTATTTTTAATATACGTTTTCTTGCTCCACTGGATCTCTGCACATGATACATGGTTTCCAGGTTATATTTTGTTGTCATTTTTCAGCTAATTCTCAGTCTTCTGAAAGATTACTGCTGCTTGTTAATCTCCCAGTAGAGGGATGATGTGGATAATTTTTTAAACAGCAAAAACAGTTACCATAGTAATTATGCTTCTTCACGATGCCTGTGAATTCACAAATACTGGCAATACCAATTTTCTGAAGTATTGGTTTCAGGATTTTAATTAGTACAAGAAACTGAATGGAGTGTGGGACTCTGCAGAATGTGCAAATGATTCTTCCCCAAGTTTAAACATAATGACATCAAAGAAGTACAGTTACTGTAGTAACTGAGCTGTTTATACATGAACTAGGTAACGCTAGTCCTCTAGTCAAAGGTTAATATCTATCCTGAGGCGCGCACACACACACAACTCCTACTGAGTTCAGTGAATCACAGAGGAACATTTCGCTCAAATTATTTTTTGTAGGTAACTGCTTTGAGTAGGTCATCATAATCACCTTTTTCACATTTGGGGCTAATTAACATCAAGTGCTAGGGAAATACACAGCAGAGGAGAAAAATCCTTGAAAAAATTCTGTGCCCTTGAAAGTTGCTGAAGCATTTTTCTTACTGAGGGCAAAGAACTTCAGAAAAAACAAGGAAGTATACTTTAGAGAAGTAATGCAAATTGTTCCAATTGTGCCATCTTTTCTAAGTAAATACTGGTGAAAATGGAAATGGCTTTATGATTTTAAGTAGTAATGGTTTGGTCCTAACAATTTACATGTCATTATTGAATTTAATTTAAAAGATTTTCTTGTTTTATAGAAGCAGACCCAGAATTATCAATTCCAAAGAGGCAATAAGAAACAAAATCAAGAAGAGGTAATTACCTATGGACAGCCTGAAAGTGAAAAGGATGAGTTGATTATTGAAAAGCTAAAGGCAACTGTGAATGAAATTGCAATAAACAAGAATAAACTAGAAGAGGAAAATCTGAAACTCCGGGAGGATTTAAAAATGTACCAAAACCAGTGCCAGGTAGTAATAATTTTTCTTTTTCCTGATGACTGTGGAATTAGTGTTGGAGAATTAATTATTTAGGAGTATACTTTAACACAGAACACAGAATGAGCTGTGAACAGTACAATTTGTTGAGTAACACTTGAAGAGAAAACAGAAATATGTTCGGTATGTAGTAGTATATTTTATTCTTGTCTGTTTATCTGGGGTTTTATAACTTTCCTGTATCCATGCATCTAGAGGAACTTAGCCTAGTTCTCTTTGTTCCTTGTATATAAATGACTTCTGTGAAATCTCTTTATCTGATTTACGCCTTGTTGTACACTGTGCCATATAACTAGTAAATAAGTGTATAGAAAAGTGTATGGTATACTTTCTTAGAGAAGATTTTCCAGTCAATGAATTTTTAAGTTGCCAGCCATGTGAAGAACCATCAGTTTTATCTTTTTCCCAGTCTACCGTTTTTCAATGTAGCACTGATCTATGAAGACAGTAATTTGAGGCTCTTGTTTTGGTTGTGATATGTGAGTTCTGACAAGATTGAGATAATACAAGATCTTTACAGCCTTTTTTATTAGCTATGTTTGAAACATCAGGAATGAGATTCTCATTGCTATTTTTTTCTGGTAACATACATAAATTATGCTTTTGCTTATTTATTGAAGCACTTCAAAGTTCAGTAATATATTGAGTGGCCGATAGTAACTTCGACTCTTTCTGGAGAAAGATAATCTATTTCTGTTTATAGACAACCTTGCAGAGTTATAACTTCATGTGCAATATACTTTATAGGAATTAATATATACATGGTGGAGGTTAATTTCAGGTGTTGTCAGAGCAGCCAAGTTTAGCGCATATGGTGTTTATACATTTCATTTGCACATTAGTTCATGGAGTCATTTGCCTGTATACAAGCTATTGGTATGCAAGGAAAAAACCTTTGTTTAGGGACCTGCTAAAAGGCTGCCATCAAAAGCAGTGGGACTAGGATACAGAGTGGAACAAATCATGGCAATTGGAGCAGGTTCCTCAAACACATTGAGGAACGGGGAGTTGTTGGAAGTGGTCAACACAGATTTATCAAGGGTAAATCATGTTTGACCAATTTGATGGCCTTCTACGATGATGTAACTGGTTGGCTGGATGAAGGGAGAGCTGTAGATGTCATCTACCTTGACTTTAGCAAGGCTTTTGACACTGTCTCCCATAACATCCTCATTAGGAAGCTGAGGAAGTG